AAGAAAGGTATGGAGGTTAAAAAAATAGCGTGAAAGCTTTGTGTGTATTTGTATTTATATTTAAATACAAATCTGGTTAATGTTCAGTATTTATACTCACTTTTTAATGTTATAATTCCATTTGGTCTTTCTGTGTAAGGACAGGTATTACCACACAACAGAGTTGGTTTAGATTGGGTATTAGGAAGAAATTCCTTTCTGTGAGGGTGATGAGGCATTGGAACACATTGCCCAGAGTTATGGATGCCCCATCCCTGGAAGTGTTCAAATCCAGGTTGGATGGGACTTTGAGCCATAGGTCCTAGTGTATAGTGTCCCTGTCCATGGCAGGGGGGTTGGAACTAGATGATCTCTAAGGCCCTGTCCAACCCAAATCATTCTATGATTAAATTAAACTCCAGGGCCTGCAATGGAGCCCCCCCAAGGCAGTTCTTGAGGTCAGTGTGAAGCCCTGTCCCCAGGGATTTAAACATGTACAGGATGTAAATGGAAACTTTCTACACTCTTCAAAAGTTCAGCCAAGTAATCTTCAATCTTACCCTGTAAACACAGACCACTAGAAACTGCTGAAAATACAAGGAATCTTCTCACATAGAAAAAAATATATTTTTTCTAAATTTGGTGGTTAGAAAAAAATCACGTGGTATATGGATCCAAGTACCTGAAATAAAGTAATTTTTCCTCTCATTTCCATTATTCATAAAATTACTTTCCTTAATTTAAAGAGCATTAAAAAATCACTGGCAAGTCATTCATACTCTTAATAGAAGTAAGAGAAAAAGTAACTGAAGGCCTTTATGAAAGCTCTGACAACAAAACCCTCATTGCTCAAGAAGACAGAAAACAAATATCCTGCATTTGCTCAGGAGAGACGGTGAATGACTGCAGTGTATGTGCTCCAGCACCTGTACACTGCCCACATCCCTGCTTGACACTGGAAGTGGAGCACTGCCAGCACAGCTGTGGGTGCAGGAAGGACAGGGAGACAGGGAAGAACCTGGATCACCCACTGGACCACCAATGTCCACCAAGATGCTGCAGTGGGTATGACAGTCAGTCACGACAGGGAGATGCCAGCCTTATGGGGTATCTCCTGTGCTTCTTGGGGGAGCAGGGAGACATGGCATATCCATGCACTATTCCTGCAGTTCACATCACAAATCTCAGCTCACTTGCACTAAAAGGTGCTAAGATCCTCTGTCAAGACAGAAAAACTAAAGAAACAATTCTAACCTGCCATTAAGAGAAGGCAGGCTGCCAGTTCTCCTGAAGGGAGAGGCTCCCTGCCTGCTGGCAGCTGAGTCACAGCTCAGCTCCTTGCCCAGCCCTTCACAGCTTCAGCAATTTCCTGAAGTCTTGAAGCTGGTATGTACTTGTAATTTTAAAAAAATCACATATGCCTGGAGAGGAGGTAATTATGACCTGCCACTCCTCTCCCATCACCTGGAACTGGACAGTGACATCTCCCTGTCTCATGGACCATTGACTGTAGGGATTATGTTGGACTCATATGGGCTTGTGCTCTCAATAGTGCATCCAGAGAAGGCCTCTGTGGAAGCCCTGGTGACAGGGCTGTGGGCCAGGGCTGTCCTCTGGGAGCTGCTGGTGCTCTGCTCTTTGGCCCAATGATGAGCTATGGCCCCTGAAGCGGTGCAGCCAACCTGCAGGGCAGGTCCAGCCCCAGCACACCCCCAGGAAGGTCCCAGTGAAAGGGCTGGGGCTGCCCTGGTGCCCCTGGCTGCCCCACTCCTGACTGGGGCAGTGGAATGGGCCCTGGCTGCCAGGCCCTGCCCTGATGGATCTCTATGGAGAGCTGCTGCTGCTGTGCCCCACCATGGCTCAGCACGTGCTCTCCATCCAACACCCAGCTTACTGTGGCTCAGCACAACTGCAGTTCTAGATACAGGCCTGAGTATTTGAGCCTTCTGTCACAGTACAAAATACCATGCCCTTAAAATAAGGTATGAGCCAAATAAAAGCCCTTCCAGGACTAGAAGTCATGTCCCACCCAAAGAGTTCCATCCTCCGTTTTGCAGAGTTTACTCCTCCCAGCCCAGGGTGCTTCTATACCGAGAAGCATCTCCAGTGAGCACAGCACATCTGGTGCAGGGGGCTGCCACACTGCAACACGACTGACAGATGTGTCCCCAGGGGGGTTCTCCACAGTGGCAGCACTATGGTCCCACCCCACTGCCTAAACAGGCACATTTGATCATCCACCCTGGTGGAGCACACCAGCTCGCAGCACCCACAGGATGCTCCTGACACCACCTGTGATCCACAAACTGGGAGCTACTAAAACACAGCAAATGGACAATCATTGCCATCACTGTGCGTATTTTTTAATATTTAGCCTACTTATTGCTCAGAGGACAAATAAAGCTTTAAAAGAGATCTCTGGAGTAAAACAGTATAGTTAAAAATAACAGATGACTGCGAAGATCATTCCTCTCTTGTGAGCAAGAGCTGGAAATTATTATCACTGTTTTCAGTACAAAACAAAAAAGGAAAGAAACATAAGAAATGCACGAAATCAGCGGAAGAATCTCACTCTCATTCCATTTGAAATGGAATCTGAGAACCTGTAACCTCTCACAGCAAAAACACATTAGATATGGTTGGTAAACATTCCTGGGAGGGACATAATCCTTAAGTGAAGTTATGTTTACAGAAAGAAGTTAAGCTCAATGGAAACTGGCACAGAAACACACACAATGGGGACTCTGCTCCCCAGCCACTGGATCACTTGCTTTGTGCAATACACTCAAGTCAAAGGTACCTGCTCTTCTCTGCTGAAACACTGAATGAAACTCACAGAGTAGTGCCAGAAACACTGTTCCAACAAAGCAATTCAGTCATATCCCAAGGTATTTTCATTTGCACAGCTGGAGGACAGGATTCAAGTTTTTCATTATTTATTAACTGATCTGTACCATAATTACCAGTTGCTTGAGCAGTAAAGGCTACACTGCTCTATGTAAGAGATGCAAGGATCTGAAGAAGCTCTGGGCAATATTTTCCATTATACCATCTCATTAAGTTCCTTCCTTTTTTTTCCTCTTTCCAATCCCTCTATATCTTTCATTTTGTTTATTTTTTTATTACTTGCCTGTGCTATATTCATTCCTTTGGCTGCTCTATCCCAAGTAAAACAGCCTTGTCATCTGCCAGCTATTTCCTTTTGTCTTGCCAATGTTACTAAAAGAGACTTTTTTTGCTAGCATGCACCTCCTCCCTGACCAGCTACCCAGAACAGAAGCATAGTCAGAAAACAACCTCATTGACTGAGATGCAGCTTCATTTTACCACAAAATTATGCATTGTCACAGCCAGCTTCTCTGGGACTTGGAGCACTGTGTGTGATGCTTGCAGCCTTTATACACAGCCTGTGAGGAAACGGCTGCACCTTTTTACTTTAGTGTCCTAATCCCCATAAGATTCACATGTACGTTGTGTCTACCTAGACCTCCTTCTGTGGTGGGCCAAGTGGTCCCACAAGAGGAAATCCAAGAACAAAATAATCTACTCCAGGCTCTGTTCACTGGATGTGCAAGAAAAATCACAAAATTTTCCTTTACTGGGGACACTCCTTCAAATTATACCAATGAAATATGTTCCCTTAAACTTCCTCATGATATGCTCCAGGGCATAGAGTACAAACTATGATAAACCCAGAAAGCCTCATGCAGTGAAGGACAAGTCAGTACACACTGATTAGCCCAGCAAGCAGAATTCTCTCCCACGTGGACTTCTAAGAAGACACAAACCTTCTTAGTTAACTCAGGAACCAAAAAAAAAAAAAAAAATATATATATATATACAATAAAGAAGACACATCACCAACCAAGAGAGAACAGGAAGCACATAAATGATTAATCTCTGACAAGCCTGATGCCAAAGTCAGCTTTTTCAAGAGAGACCTGTTCTCATTGCTTAGAATCCAGAATTAGAAATCCTCTCCTGTCAGTAGACATCTTCAGCTGTATTTCGAGTTAATATCCCATACCCTTTAGTCTCTAATCACAGCCACCAGTGACTCTACAATGTCTGCTTAGCTTTATAAGAGTATGGTCACAAAAGCACAAATCTATAGTAGGACTCCAGCTGGTCTTAATGAATGAGGATTGTTTTGAAAAGTTTTCTCTGACCAAGGCTGTTGGAGCATGGAGACCAAGAGAAGAAGAGAGAAGATAACCAGGGAAAAAAACCACACAGCTATGGAAAGTATTTTTAGAAAGGTTCTGGGAAGAATAGGGGTGGAGAACTTTCCACCAATGACTGCTATGTTGACTAATTGTGACCAATAAGAAGGTGTAAATTATATAGAGGGTATAAAAGGTGGTGCATTATTGTAATAAATGGGATATTAGCCTCCTGAAGTACAGTGTCCCTTTTGTGTGTCGTGCCAGCCCATACAGCGACACAAATCCCCTCTCAGACTGGGAACATTGAAGCCAGCTGGTCACATTTTTCATGAGAATACCCTTTTACAGGAAATAGATCTCAGAGTAGGTCTGGGCTCCACACATAAACACTGAAGAAGCTCTACACTCCCAGGGCCATCCAAGGGTAAAATCACACAAGGAAAAAGACAGGGATCTCAGACATATCCCAAGTCATATAGTAGTTGATGGCTTTCACCAGTAGTGCAGTTTTGGACTTGGGTGATCAGTTCTGCCTCTACCCCACGTACACTTAAACATCAGTATGACAAAAAGGGATTGTGGAGAAGACTGAATTCTGGAAACATACTTCCTAGCAGCTTGAACACGCCCCATGAAAGATGTACAGGATTCCTGGAAATGCTTTTCTGACGAAGGAGGGACATGCAAAGGTTAACAAGGCATCCTTTGGCCGCAAAGTGCAGGAAATCACCAAGGAAGAGTCAATGTCATCTCCACAGCTGCAGCTCTATTACAACATAAACCATAGAGCCCTCTCTCTTTGTACATTAAAATACTGTAATTGACATTTTCCAAGGGAGCAAACCGAGTACTTGCCTGTATTTATGAATGATGGCATTAAATAACCTTCCATCACGCCAGCAGGTAGTGAAATTTTCACAGCGTATTCCAGCATAACCCTCTGTTGTTTGCTGTGACCACAGGAGCAGTCTCTCTTTAGCAGACATGTCCTCTGACTCCCCAGTAACGTGGATATCAGATATCTAAAACATAGTTAATGTAAAAATTAGAGTTATAGCTAATCCATAAGAATGCTTAAAATATTGCAGAAAATCACTCTGCATTACTGGAGAATTTATTGTCTGGTATCTGCATACATGAATACTATGATTATTCAGGTACTGTATTAATATTCTTTCATGTCTTATCCTTGTCCACTCTAAGTATCTTCAATATGAAATTCAGTTTTCTTCAGTTAGTCAGTTCTCAGTCTCTTAATTTCTGGACACAGTATAATACTATGACATAATGCAAAATACTTAAGTGTTTCTTTTATGATGATAATACAATATGTATGACACCTATTATATATAAATGCTATATAAGTATATATAAAATGCATTATGTATATAGTCACACTTATAAAATAACTATATTTATTATTAAACATTATTTTAATAATATTAATATTATATTATTCATAATTTATTTAGCTATGAAATCCCTCTCTTAAAACAGGTTAATTTACATAGTACATTTTCTGGAATACAGTAACAAAACAGTCATTCTGAGTGAAAACTGATAATAATAGCTTTATTACAAAACTTTCAGAGAAGTATTTTAGGAATGACTAAAAGGCTGAAGGGTTATGAATAGAAATTTTGTCGAATCAAGAAGGTTCAGTTTTGTATTATCTAAGGATTATCAACTCCGTATCAGGGAAAGCAGGAAAGTATTGGGAATTTTACATTCAGATGCTACCTTATAGTACGTTAGATTATCCCCTAATCAAGTTCAGTCAGTTTCATTAGAAAACTATCACAGTATAAATATGAAGCACACATTTCCCTAATTTGCACATGTATTGTTTGTACCTCATGTTACAGAAATTGTACTTAATGTAAATATTAACTCTAAATAAATAAAGTGCTATAGCATGTTGACATTTTTCCAAGCGAGCACCTTTTACCACTTGTCCATACAAGAGACAACAGGTGTTATTATGAACTACATAGGAGCCCATGTACCACTGTATAAGAACCTGAACTCTGTAGCTCAGCCATGACAAAAAGCAGGCAGAGCTGCTTGGGCAGAGGCAGGAGGGCTTGAGGCAATGCCACAGCTTGTGGGTAGACAAGAAGCAGCCCTGTGACCCCCTGGAAGAGGCTGCTCCCCTCCACACACCCAGCACTGCAGAGAGACACAGGTCTGCTCTGGCTCCAGAGCCAGCCTGGGGCCACAGCTCAGGGCAGGTTTGCCCACAAACAGCTCTGGGTGCTTCAGTTTGCTGCAGAAGAACTATAAACTGAGCTGTGCCAATTCCAGCAATCCTGTTCTAGCATAAACCAGGCAGCCACACTCATGAGGTCAGATGAGATGGTCCAAACAACTTCTCGGGGCCTCTGAATCTCTGCACACAGAGGCATCGTCTGTCTGGACTCTGACAGGGGGAATTCCAACAGGCTAGGCTGGAAATCATGGGGTTTTCTCACATTAGAGCCACACAGGTCACAGTGCCAAGAAGAAAGATGTGTAGCCTGCCTACTGATGTTGCTATGACATGGCCTTAGACAAGGTGATGGGAAGCACTTGGAAGCAAGGAATGGAAGGAAGAGCCTTAGAGATTTCAGGGTAATGGAGCTCACTACAATTTCTGCTTTATCATCTCTCATACTTTCAGGGAATGATGAGCATTTACACCTATACAGTAAATTATAAATAAATTTAATGTAGGAAAAATAATTTTCATTACTTTCTATTCAAGTAACCACAAAATTACAAGCTGTGAATGCAGTCCTTCAGATACCTATTACAGGCCATTGTATCTGTTGGATCTACGTAAGGGAAAAATACAAACACCAATGCTAGAAAGCAAAACAGTTTTGTCTGTTCAACTAGCCCCTAAATAACCTGACAGCACTTTTGCTCCCATTGTCTTCAGCTTCAGCACATTTTTAAGAAAGATCAAACAAGAAAGGAAAAAAACCTCTTTTTTTTGTTCAAAGCACAGTAGAGAACACATGCAGCTGTGATAATTTGTAAGTTTCTAGGTATCAAAATCCTGCAAAGAATATTTACTGAATGAAATACAGATGGTATGAGTCGTGTCTGTAAAGATAACAGAAAATACAATGTGGCAAAAGACCAACTTGTAATCACTCTGAAAACTTTTTGGTAAAAATCCGGGGAACTCAGCTGTAGTGCAAGGTTTTTTTTCCTCTGGGTTAGCTTTATTGTTTGGTATTTCAAAGCAAGAAAGCAAACTAAATGTTTTTTCAGTAGCTTTAGTTTCTATTCATCACAGAACAACCAGATCACAATATAAATGAAGTCAACCATTTACTGCTTATCCGGACAATGCTTCTGAAAGAGATGATGTCATCTCGAAGTGCCAGATGTCTAGCATAAAAAAAAAGACCCAACAAACCCAAACCTATATTTTCTGTTTGTCATTTTCAGAAAGTTCTCAGTGTGTAAACCTTAATTATCAGATTTTTTAATGTACTCTAGCATGAGCAAGCTAACAATGCAATTTGCTAATGGCCCTTCCTTACTGCTAAGTTCAAACCCTTGGCCTCCTTCATGGTTAATTGAGCAGGGATGGCTCTGTACACTTCAGACTGCAGAGACTGCAAACACAGCATGTTTGAGTGCACATTAGATTCCTCTGGAAACAAGTAATTTCAAACATCAAGGTAACTTCTGAAGACTGTGCTAGTATCTGGTGTTAGATATAAACAGCATTTTAGTCATGAACATGAACACAAGGAGAACTTTTACTCTGAACATGACCACTAGAGAAGCTCACTGTTGAAATTTTGGATGGCTAAAACATTAATTCAGTTTATTACATGAAGATCAACAGGTTTTTGATCCAAAATCTTCCAAGCACCCTAGTTAGCCATCTGAAGAGAAAGGAAAAGGCTTTTCAATCATGGAGGTAGCCCATTTCACTACAGGTTACAGAACATTAATATGAGCCTGAGGCCTGAAACAGCCTGAGCACTTCTGTACTCTAAATAAAGTATTTTAGTTTTCAAAGTTAACATTTCAGACTTTTTCATAAATACTGAATTAGAGTATTTCTGCTTTTAAAATACTAAGTGAAATAGTGAGTCAAATGGTTATATTTTATTACTTACAAATACGGGCTCTGGTTCACAAGATGCCCTATTAACTTGAAACTTCTTAACAAGTAAAATAAAATAAGGTGTAAGAGAAAGGGAGAGAGCCCATCTTTCCTTTGATAATTCCATTAGGACAGCAGAGATACTAACCTACCAACTATACATTATCATCAATATTTCTAACATCATTTCCCATAGGAGAAAAACAGGACTACTAAACTAAGAATGACAGAAAATAAGGCGAAGTCAAACCTTCTACCCATAAAATTTAGTCTTTCCAAGCAAAGTTTGTGTGAACATTTTGTATCCCACAAGAGCATCATTTACTCACTATAAACTGCTTAAGTAGAGCACATTTGTTCCTTAAGCATGGAAAGAATGAATTACAGCATTTGCATGAGTTTGAGCAGTTGTTTGCCAGAGATCCAGTTCTCCAAATTATCTCAAAGCCTGTGAATTAAAAGTTATGAAAGAAAAAGCAACAGAGGTAATTCTCTACACAGTCCTTCTATTTCAGGATCAAAGTCTTAACTGGCACTAAATACCCTCTTTCTTGCTTATAACTGGGAGAAAGTGTTCACTTCTGCTACTGCACATGGTTTTTCTCAGCCTGTAAATTCCCCCTGCATCACACAGTACAGAAAATCCAAACACAAAAAAGCCTCAAGCTCTTTCTTTGCACTAATTTTAGTAGTGTGGTTTGGAGCCCAAAGAGCAGAGCAGACTGGAAAAGACTTTCCAAGAGATCAATAGTGATGCTCTATTTCTGTGACTCGTTTTCACACTGCAAACAGAAGAGCAAGAAGTCTTCCCTCTGATTCCATCTTATCCTAAATGTTTTGAAGCAAGTCTAAACTTGACATAATGTACTAAACTGCACAAAAGTATATAATGAGCTAGAGATGCATGATTGTGGTGGGGTATCGTCTCCAGGCCACACTATGATCTGAGAAATATTAAGCCTCAGCAGAAAGCAAGAAGTTTTTCTTTCAAAGCTATTAATGAGTAGCCAGGAGCAATGCTTCAGTAGATACCTCTAAGCTGAGTTCTGTAATCATGAAAGCAGAGGTAATGAAGTAGCACATATTTGAACATAAAAGTATATTTTTTTACATGCATAAGAAACTGTGCCACAGAAAGAAACTCAAAGGATATATTTCAGTAGAAGGGACCATACTGTTTCAGAGGGTAAAATGTATCTCTGTTACAGCGTAAATTATCCAACTGTTCTAGTGGGTTTCCTCTGGTGTCTCAGTTTGAAAAGCCAACATACTTTCAATTATCAGCCACATCTGAAGCACTGTGTAAGCTGAAAGTGCATTACAGCATGGGTAAGTTGACAAGGTAAGGGAAGGCTACTGATCTCTGTAATTACCATAAAGAAAATGGTAAAGCTGAGATTTGCAACTGCAAGCTTTGTGTACAGCTCAGACCAGTAACAGGAAATTCATAAATAACCAGCTACACTCAGTATAAAAAAGATAGAAATATAAGACATTAAAATGCTTTCTTAGGTCTCAAAAACAATCAGAAGGAAAGTGGTTATGGGTTTGTACAGTAATTAAAGTCTGAAATCTAGTTTTTCCTGGGTTTTTTAGAGGTGAAACCTTGGTGTTCTTACAATTACTTATATTGAGAATCTGGGGTTGAGAAAGGGAACTGAACCGAAAGCCAAACCTTTAGCAACTGAGGCATTTATCCTGATGTGTAAGTAGTTTCATATTCATGCAGTGTTTTATCAGTATCAGTTGAAATCTTTTTTCTCCCTTCTTCTGTGGTAACAAGAAGTATAGACCTGGTTGGAGTAATAACTGTAGCAGTATTAGAAGCTGTATTACTTTTGTTATACAGGAAAAGGCAGCCATGCTTAGCTGAAGAAACAAGGCCTCATACCCTCTTACTCAGCAGTGACGTTTTGTACAAATCAAAGAACACTCCTAAGCTGTTCCTGAATTCCAGCTAAGATTAAGAGGGCAAAGATCTCTATGAGTATTAGAAGGTTAATTGTACTATTGTGTGCTGCGTGTTACAATTGGGTGTTTTATCTATGTTTAAAAAACTAAGCTCAGACAAAGTATTGTTTGATTCCTGTTAGAAAAGTTAATTATATAAGTAAAAGACGTTTAGTTAGCTCTTTGCCGGAAAGAATGCCTTTGGCATTCCCATTTGGCACTGCCCATTCCTTCTGCTCATTCAACTGAGAGCTCAGATGTCCCCACTGAGCAAGGGGAATCAGTTTTGGACCAGATCAAGTGTACAGATTTCAGTTGTCCGGAAGATGGGTGGGGCAAAACTGGAAATATGGATTGAAGTGGTAAGCATGATTACCAAAATTTCGTTTTCCTTCAGATATTCTGCAACTAAGATTGTATTTTGGTTTCTTTTATTGAAAAAATAAAATAATCTGACCCTCAGAGGAAGATGGATTTCCAATAATTAATATAAATAGGTCATCTAGACAGTTTGGGAGGAAAGATCCTTTAAAAGAAGTGTAGAGTGCTATTAACATGATTAATGTTCACTTGTTCTATTTCAAGCTGCCTACATAGCTCTGTCATTCTTCAGTTCCTACTGGCCATTACTGAAGAGAATTAGAAATATCCCTTTCCTTGATACAAGACCCAAAGGAATAACAAGACTATGAAGAGGTGGTAAGAAAATATACTGCAGATACTGAATGTGAACTCTAAAATTCACTCCACGTTCTAGCAACATTTTACATGAAAATCCTTTTCCTAAATTAAGAAAAAGATCAAACTAAAGAAAAAAATAGCACTAGAATATATCAATACTCCTAAAGTGCAGAGTTATTAATAGCCTTTGAAAAAGATCAAATAATATGTTCTGTCCTGCAAATATCTGTAGTATCATAGCATGTAAGAGTTTTATACACAGCAAGGTAAAGATATTTCTGTAATAGAAAAATTACTGTTCAAATACTTATTCTAAGCTAGCTTTCAAAGATAATGTACTGTATCAAAATATTTACCTTGCTCCTGTTTGGTGCAATGCTAAAAGATGCCTTTTCTTTTGGCAAATGGGAAAGTACAGCATCAGGATAAAACCTCTTTTGTTCAAGTAACGGATCACTTTTGCTTTCAGAAAGAAAGTGACGCAACTTTTCAGATTTACTGCTTTCTGAAACATTTTCAATGACTCTGCAAGAAGTTATGTTTAATTCAGTTTCTTCATGTTGTCTGCCTAAAACGTGGATGGTAGAATCCGACATAGTTCCTTTTCTATAACCAAAACCACCGGACTTCTTCAGGAATCCTAATTCTCTCCTGTTATCATCCTGTGAACATTTCCTTTTCCACACACAGTGCTTCTCTGAATTACTCTTGTCTTGTTCCTTTAACCATGTGTCTGTTTCATCGGACTTGGCGAGCCTCTGATTATCACAGTGAAAGTTCTCCCCACAAAGAGAATCACTCTTTGCTTTGCCCGAGAAAACTTCTGCTTTAGCAATATCAACTGAAAGGTCTGTACTCACAGGCAGAGCATTACCAGCCACTGTCATTCTCCCGGGGTAGAAGTCGGCCAATCCCACACCCTTAGGATGAATCTTGCTGTTTTCAGAAATCTCCACTTCATACTGTCTTTTTTCTTCATTTTCTTTAACGTGCACTGAATCTGATCTCTCCTCGGTTGATTTCTTTCTCCTTTTTCTTCTGAGATATTTTCTTCCAGGGGAATGTTTCTCTGGACTTAGGGGAGCTTTGGCAGGATCTAAACACTGTTCTTCCTTTTCAGCCCTCACACATCCACAGACATTCCCCATTTGGCTCTCTGTAACTCACAGCCACACAGTTTCATTCATTCCCGTATATTTATATACAATTAAATCCTCCTCAGAAAGTTACAAACTGCTGTTTCCACCGTAATTTCTTCCAGACTTCACATCCACCCGCCTCAGTTCGTAGCCATTTTGCTTATGAGAAATGCACACGCAATAAAGGCTGTGGCTCAGAGCCCAGGCAGGGCCTGTGTCTGATTAGACACTGTGGCTTATTTCTGGCCACCAATCCTCTTAAATAAACATCACTGTTCCAGCGTGGGGCTGTAATTCTGATTGCCTTTCACAGAGATGACATAGCATTTATGGGCAGTAGAAATTTCTCACATGCATTTCAACTTCCCGTTTCACTTAGTAACTTGAGCAAGATAAAGTAGAAAAATAAGTAGCAACCTTTGAAACTATTAGCTACACTCCAAATCTAAAAGCAAGCAGCACAGTAAATAGCAGGGGTTTCGTCAGCAGATTTGTTTTGCACTTCATATGTTTTTATTACCTATCCAATGATTCACAAATGGGAAGATTAAACTAAGGGATCAGAAATTGCTCTGACAGCTTGCTGGGGGTCAAGTTTTTATTTGTACGTGGAGTTTTCATAGCAGCTAATGTGACTTCACTGATTTGTCAGCTATAAATAACCTGCTGCTTCACTGCCGTCATAAAAGCACAACAGCTTTGTCAGGGCAGTGACCCTGTGTACTGGGGCTGAAACTTTGCAGCAGAGTTAAACCTTCTGGCAGATAAAAGTGAAACAAATCATAAAAGCCAATCTATCTAGAAAACTGACCTTAAGATTACTGTTTATAAAAATGGAGCTTTATCCTATTCCCGTGCTCCTGTAAGGCATTTCTGTGTAGCTCTGAATAGAAGATCCAAGAAACATCAAACTATACCTAAAACTAAGTAGAAATACACACTTTTAAAATGCAAGCAAGTCTGATCTCCAGTGTACTTTGTTTGGAAAAATCTTTTTAGCTTTCCTCTCTGTTTTTGTCATGGATATGTGAAATCTACTAAAACCAGCATACATCATCAAGGACAGATGTGTATGGTTTCTCATGCTGAGAAAGAACTACAGAGTGACTTGCCAGGCATTATCAGGTGTTACCATTGACTTTCCCTTGTTTATTTGAAAAGGAATTGCAATAATGAGACCATAGACTTTATCCCCAGAGACCATTTCCACTGAAGTATTCCATATTTTATTGACAGGATCTAGAATGGATAATACAGCAAAGATCTAGGATAAGCCTCCAAAGAATTTCCAAGGATATAGTTGCTCACTATTGACTACTCCCAGGGCACTGGGGTAAAATTTGACAGTAATGCTTAGAAAATTTTGTACTCTAACACCACATAATACTGTTACAGATGGGCAGCTATGTACAGGCACAATGCTAATGTGTTTCTTTTCAAAGTAGACATTTGTTCTATCACTACATTCTTTTATAGCCTCAATTTGTATTTGCATTTGTAGCATGCTCAACATACAGGTGCACTTGTGACATTTGCTCCCTTTAATCACAATGAGAAGGTTGTATCCTAGTCTGTTTAGAAAAACAGACTAGAAGAGTGACTTTTAGCTAAGATCAGAGGACTTACTGATTTAAAGCACACTTCCACATGGGTCTGTGTTGGGTTCTGACATGGACCCCCCTTTTTTAACAGAAAAACACATTAAAAAATAATCTAACTTACATCCTTGTGTTTGTACAAAAAAACAGCTTTTACACCTAAATATATACTTCTCTTTCTTCTCTCTCATCAGAGAAGATGTTTCAGGACTTTACAGTGCAATGGGCCAAGGCTGATTTCATTTCACACAGATATAGTTCCTGGTTTAACAACAAGATGCTAGTAACAATATATGGTTAAAGAGATTGTAGTATAATTGTCTTAAAGTATATATAAAAATATTTTATTGATAAAGGAGATATATGTAAAATATTAAAGGCAAGTGTCCAGCATTTAAATGGACAATTGCAAATCTTCACACTAATTCAAAATGTATTAATGCAACCTATCACTAGTACACTGATAATGTTATTCTTCCTCCAAAAATTTCACATGGGGCAAGAATTTCCCTAAAAATATTGCAAATTCAAATTTTCAATGCAAGTGTATTTTTAAATTAATACATACGGATATGAAGGTTTCTAAACAGTATTATATTAGATTATTTTACTGAGCTTTACTGGAGTGTGATTTGATATGTATTTCCTTTAAACTGTTTACATCTGTTTAACAGTCACCATGATAGTACCTTCTTTCAAACAAAGTGACCCTAAAGTACACTCTGTTATGTCCAAACTCCTGTAGATTCAGTGGCACAGTCACAAAAATATAATATAATAACTAATTCAAGATAGGTCAGAAGAAACATATTATTGTTATTTTACAGTTGACAATTACATTTCATAATGCAATCAGTAATTTATAGAGTTCCTGATCTTGCACATCCTCTTTCATTCATATTTTAAATTTTGATTTTTTATTCTTAAGAGTAACTCAATTTTTCAAAAATCAGGTGCCACTGAAGTAGAATTAAAAAAAAAAAAAAAAAAACAAAAAAGCAGAAATGCAAGAATCAATTCTAAAGCACTGGTTACAAGATCAGTGTTCCTAACAATCCTGCCCTACTTCTGCATATTCCAGGTCAATTTACTGGAATGCACCAGGTATAACTCCAGCAAGTCCTAGGAGAGAGCCAAAGGGATGGTGAAGGGCCTTAAAGTGAAGCTGCATGAGGAGCAGCTGAGGGCACTGGGTCTGTTCAGCCTGGAGGAGACTGAGGGGAGACCTCAGTGCAGTTACAGCTTCTTGTGAGGGGAAGAGGAGGGACAGACCCTGATCTCTGCTCTGTGGGGACAGTGACAGGACCTGAGGGAATGGCCTGAAGCTGTGCCAAGGGAGGTTTAGGCTGGATATCAGGAAAAGGTTCTTCACCCAGAGGGTGCTTGGGCACTGGAACAGCTCCCCAGGGCAGTGGTCACAGCACCAGCCTGACAGAGCTCAAGAAGTGTTTGGACAATGCTCTTGGGAAGAGGGTGTGACTCTTGGGGTATCCTGTGCAGGGTCAGGAGTTGGACTTGAGGGTCTCATCCATCACAGTATATTCTATGGTAGCTCTATGATTTATCCATTTCTAAATATTAGCTAGGAATAAATGCATTCCAAATATTCCTGTGCAGATGATTAGTAGCCTTTGTGCCTTTTTATCTTTCTAGACATAGGTAATTTTGAGACTTAATAACCACTTTAACAATACTTACCAGCTGTTCCTGAGAAAGCTATCAACTCTATTAGCAATTCTTTCTGCAATTCCATTTTTTTTCCCAAGAACCAAATAGTAATTTTACAGTCACTTTAAGTGGCTTATACTCTTGAACCAAAGAAAAGATCAAGGACAACAGAATCAATAAATTGCATTTATATCAGTTGTTGCGGGTTTTTATATAAAAACCCTAAGGAAAATAGGTGAAGATTAGAAATGAAAAATTAAAGAAAATTAAAGAAAAAATTACCACTTTCAGCTAACTGAAATTCTATGAAGTCCCAACTTTGGTCTCAGCAAGGAAAGAGTTAACAGGATTACACTGGATATTCAGAAGAGAGCAACTGAAATTTCTTCCAAAACCTGTCAGCTAGAGCATAGATAGATGATATTCTAAAGCATCAAAACAGACTACCACTGAAGTCTATGAGAACCACCACAATACAGTGGTCACCACACCAATGGTTTTGTCTTGGACATCTGACTAATCTGACTAGACCTGAACCGAAGTTCAGCACTGGTTTAAGCCAGAATCCAGGTGATCAAAGCTGTTAAAACTACCACCAGGAATTGTTGTGTTTCTTTATCTTGATACTGGGGTTTTTTGTTGGTATTTTTAAACAAAATATGAAAAAGATACAAATTTATACCCACCAATGCTGCAAAGTTTTGTGGGAAGATTAACAACAGGCTTTTCCTGGCATGAAAACCCCTAAGAAGTATAACATGAATTAAGGATTAGATCAGCACTTGTGTGCAATTTGACCTATCTCAGAGGCTGCTTAATCACCAAACAAGAGGTTAAGATTAAGACATGGAAAACAAACGATTAACACTGAAACATGAAACAGCTCACGCAGATTTGTATGGGTTTGCATTTAACCACAGATTTCTGTAATTTGTCAAGCATGGCTGTGACTGGGAAATGCATTAATTTCTTAACACGGGACAGATGTATAACACATTAAAATGGCAACGTTGTTGAATATTTGTGTATTTGTTAGTCTGCAAAATGATGATACCATTCACCCCATGTACACTGCTAATTTATGCTTAATCATTTGTCTCATATAGTCAGCAATTATTGTACAGGAGAAGTTACTCTGCTAACCAAACCATGCCAGGTATCTTTTATCAAAACCCTACTAGTAATGCATTTCAGGTACTCCTGGATCTAAGATCCCTTTCCCCTCTTTTTTGTGTGTTTATGCAACACAGCAGAAGTAATGGAGCGTTTAGCACAAATGGGACGTGTCATTTCACGGTACTAAAACAGCATACCAGATAACCAGCAAGCATTTTGTTGCACAGCCCTAAGGTCACACGCAGAATAACAGAGAGATAAACATAAGCCAAAAAGAAAGTGAAAATTAAAGTAGCACAAGATAGAAAACAAGGATAAAAATAAAGGCTTGCCAGCACAAACAAAAGGTTTGGAGCTGTTTGAGCTGTACTGGCAACCACTCCTCAAACTCTGAAAGACATGTTCAACTACCAAGTCACAACCACCAATAGGAGACGTTTTATATCCAGTGAGATGGCTTACAAAAAGAGGAATTTGCTCCTTATTGGTGGTTTTATTAATCTGTCATTATTAATGACAGATTTCATGCTTCTCTCACCCTGGCTGTGATTCAGATGAGTCCCAGAAATCTCAAGAATTACACATTTACTTTCTTCCCTAATACTTAGAAATTTTACTATTTTTTTTATAAATCACTGAAGAATTCCAGAAAAAACAACTAGGAGTTCAGCTAAGAAATAAAATATCACAAGAGTATACCCTAACAAATGTTGAAGGACAGGAACTGCTGCTGCTTTAGCTAATGATAGACAATGCAGCTACCATGTGGAATACACTTTATCCTACAATCACATATAGTCACATACAGGACAACTGGCTGCATAGTTTCATTTTTAAATCTTTAAGATCAGATCTTGAACTGTTCTGGTTATTTTAAAGCAGAGGCAGAGTAAATTTCAATCCTTGGGCTGCAAGGCACACAGCTCAGGAAGCACCAGGAATGGTTGCCAGGAGAAGAGTGGCTGAAAGCCAG